GCTGCGTGACTGACAGCTGGCTCTGCCTATCTAGAGGCAGAGCCAGTTGTACCCGCCCCCTCCCCTGTCCGTTCCGCCAGTCAGCAATGGCGGAGCGGGGAGGGGGCAATCCAGCCCCTCCCCTGTCACGACAGAGAGCCGTAACAGGATCGAGAGGTGAGCGAACGCCGGTATGTGTTCGCTCACCTCCCGATCTACTAAGCTGACCTGTGACAGTCTCATTGTCACAGGTTGGCTAGAACTATATGAGGTGAGTGAAAAGCACTCACCTCATAGTTCTCCTTTTAAGCATGGTGGTGGCGCAGTCATGCTCTGAGGCTGCTTTGCATCTTCCGGCACTGGAAACCCTGCAGCATGTGGAAGGCAAGATGGATTTACTGAAGTATCAGGAAGTCCTAGTAGAAAACATCATGCCGTCTGTCTAGTGGCGTAACAACTGGGTGGCGGCCGGTGTGCTGGCCCCGGGCGAAAAGAAGGGGGGCTCCGGCCGAAAATGGCACTTTTGGCTAAATGCGCACACCCGTGATTTCTTTCCTCTCCGCTGGGCGCTGCTCTTTGTCCCAGCAGGGAGGAGAGAAAGTGACAGCCAGCTGAGCACTGCGGGAGGAGACCGCCGTGATCAGCCGGTGTCTCTCCTCCCACACCGCTCAGCCGCCTATCACAGTCCGGCAGAGCGGTGTGGGGGCAGAGACAGCGCTGTCACAGGAGGCTGAACGAGCGTTGTAGGAAGGAAAGCCCAGCCTCCTGTGACAGCGTGTGTCTGTGTCAGAGATGAGAGCAGGCTACAAACACTCTATATGCTTAATTATGAATGAATGGGAGTGACTTATATTACCTCCTGTTCATTCATAATTGTAGTTATAGTAAACATACTAATATTCTCAATGAACCGGAACACTCAGTATAGAGGATTCCTGTTCATTGATAAGAGGGGACACAGAAAAAGAGATTGAGGACTCTGTGTTCTCAATCTTTTTCTATTTTAAAAGGGAAATTTTAGGGGTCTATTTTTAGACCCCTTATATTTCCCCGAAGCCCCTAAAAAGTAAAGTAAATCTGGAGAGAAGTTGTTGACTGGACTGCTGAGGGCAGGGCAGTGAGTGAAACTTCTCAAAGAAAGACTTTCTTTTGTTGGCTATAGATTACTCTGCTCGGATATCCAGGGTTGCTGAAAATGTTTAGTTGGTGCTCTAGAAGAGCTAGGATTTTGTTTGTAGTTTTTAACCACCTTTTTGAATGTTGTTCAAAGTGACATGCAAATAAAGAATTTGTATGCTGGCAGCTGGTTATACCCTAGAGGGCCATGTTTGGCTGGAACCCAGTGTGTGTGTGTGTGTGTGTGTGTGTGTGTGTGTATATATTAGAGGTGCACTGAAATAGAATTTTCAGACCGAAAAACAAAAATGTTAAATTTGTCAGGCCGAAACCAATTTCTTTTTTCTAACCATTTTAAAATAATTTTTAATATTTAATTTTGATCGAGCTGGCCAACCCCGGCCAGCTTTGGCGGGTCGGGGGCAGAGCTTCAGCGGGTCAGGGGTGGAGCTTCGGCGGGCTGGAGGATGCCTCACCCAGCACATAAGGCACAGCACGTCACTGGTATGCTGATGCCTTAAGAGTTTCCTTCACTTCACCAAGCCCAACCCCTGAATGATGACCCCACACTATAATCCCCTTTCCACCAAACTTTACACTTGGCACAATACAGTTAGGTAAGTACCGTTCTCCTGGCACAATACAGTTAGGTCAGTACCGTTCTCCTGGCAACCGCCAAACCCAGGTACGTCCATCGGATTGCCAGACAGAGAAGCGTGATTCGTCACTCCAGAGAACACGTCTCCACTTCTCTAGAGTCCAGTGGTGGCGTGCTTTACACCACTGCATCTGACGCTTTGCATTGTACTTCGTGATGCAAGGCTTGGATGCAGCTGCTCGGCCATGGAAACCCATTCCATGAAGCTCTCTACACAATATTGTTGTGCCAATCTGAAGGCCACATGCAGTTTGGAGGTCTGTAGCTATTGCAGACAGTTAGCGACTTCTGCGCACGGTGCTCTTCAGCATGCGCTGACTCAGCTCTGTCATTTAACGTGGCATAACACTTCGTGGCTGAGTTGCGGTTGTTCCCAGTTGCTTCCACTTTGTTATAATACCACTAACAGTTGACCACAGAATATTTAGTAGCAAGGAAATTTCACAGATGGACTTATTGCAAAGGTGGCAACCTATCACGGTACCACGCTTGAATTTACTGAGCTCCTGAGAGCGACCCATTCTTTCACAAATGTTTGTAGAAGCGTCTGCATGCCGAGGTGCTTGATTGTATACACCTGTGGCCATGAGATGATTGGAACACCTGAATCCAATGATTTGCAGGGGTGTCACAATACTTTTGGCAATATAGTGTTTTTATTACATATCAAAGAAAGTAACCCCATTAAAAATACATCATAAATTTGGACTCCTGGCAGATATGAAATGGAAAACAGAAGTCAATGCATTTATGGTCTCATAAAAAAAAATCATAAAATTTATTGTATACATAGTATCAGCCTCCTGTCATCTACTCTGTATAGCAGCATTTAATCTGCGAGAGTGAGAGACAGCACTAAGAGATTATCGGCATCTGCTACATGAATGGGCAGACAGGAGAAGATATCAGGGAGATGACTTCACCAGTGTGCAACTGCATCTTTACTGTCCAATCAGGGGCTGGGGGTGGGGAGGTTACTAGGCTGTATTGCTTTATTGCAACGCAGGAAAGTCAGATCACCATGTCATGTTTAGTTTACTAGTTGGTATTGGGATTGTAGTCCATCACAGGAGAGGGATTGTAGTCCATCACAGGAGAGCGCTTGGAGTGGTGGCTACTTTACAACACACACGGGGACCATGGGGAACAAAAGTAGCCACCCTCCAGAAGGAAGGACAGTGTCAGCACCAATTCAGAGATGATTTGAGGATACAGCTGAATGATACACAAGCTACATTTTTGTTAATAGTTAAGGTACTTGAAGGCATTTTTTAAGGTTTAACTGCTGAGTTTAGTGTCTCTTTAAGGTTTAATTATGCTATTATATCCTTTGAGGTTGTCCCAAACTGGTTCGCTATTGGGCGGATGTCGAACGAGTTATAGGTTCTGTATTTTCGGTCCAAATTCCCTGCTCCCCTCAGGCCTGCTTACTTGGCATTTTAAAATCCGATTTATGGGATGATATGACTCTGACTGCTGTGTCCAGAGCTCTGCGTACAGCATGCAGACTTCTTGCACTTAAATGGATATCACCCACAGTCCCATCTGTGGCTATGTGGGTGGAGGAAATGGTTCGCTTGATTGCCTTTGGAAAAATAACATTCAAACATAGAGGTAACCTTTTATAAATGCTATACTTTATGGGAGAGGTGGTTGGGACGGCATGATGCTGGTAAAACTGGTAAAACTGCTACCCGGTAGGGCCGATACACTTTCTAGTTGTACTTCTTATGGTTAGTACCCCTGCGGCTGAATAACAGTCAGTATTACGGTATGTACCTGTATTGTGATACGATATGCAATAACTGGAGAGGCTTCACATGTTCAATATGCTGAGTATACTGTCATTTTGTACACATTGTTTTTTAAAGGGTTATTAAACCCTGCTATTGTTTTTTAAGGGTATTAAACCCTCCGGTGTTTTTATATATTTTATTATTATTATTATTATTATTATACAGGATTTATATAGCGCCAACAGTTTGAGCAGCGCTTTACAATATAAGGAAGACATTACAATCGCAATACAATTCAAGACAAGATGGTAAGGAGGGCCCTGCCCGTGAAGGCTTACAATCTAAAATCTACTGCTAGCAAGCAGTAGATAGATGCAAAACATGTAAAAAAACAACAACAAAAAGCCAGCGTTAAAATTGGTTTAAACTTACCTGTGTCTTCCCCGCGCGCTCCCGTCCGAAAATGTGAACATTTTTAGGCGGCTGCAAAGCATCTGGGGGCGGGCGCGTGCGCAGTTCACATTGTCGGCTGGGAGACGAGGAGAGACACAAGTTAAGTATGTGGACGCATGCACCCGCATGCAGACACCGTGGGACAGGTAGTGCCAGGAAGGACAGAGGAGTCAGCGCTGGATCGGAGACCCACAGCAGCGCTGGAAGGACAGATGAAAACAATGGGAAAGAAGATGATCGGATTAAGAGACATCATTTAAGGTAAGTTCTTTAATTAACATTGGGGGGAGGGGAAAAAAAAATCTTTGACATTAATGTCACTTTAAGTCTTATTTTTTTACTTTTATTTAATTTACCTATTTGTTTGCATTTTTTGATGCACCTTGTTTTTGTAAAACTGACAATTTCCATAAAAAATTATCTTCTAAAAAAAAAAATGCTGCTGAAAAATAT